TTAAACAATCTGCCTTGTTTAGTATGTTATATGGAATCTTGGTACAGCTCAGGAGTAAATGTATTTTTAATTAAGGTATCACCCCACCTAGTTAACAGCTGTTAGACCTCTGATTTAGGGTAAATCTGAATTGAACTTTATTTTGTCTCCCCAGGACCCCAGTTTGCAGAGGAGCCCGCCCCTCCTCCCACGCCGCCCTCTCCCTTCGGAGACTACAGACAATACCAGTGAGAGGACTGCCCCGCTTCTTTTCCACTAGGCCTTTTTCTAAATCCTTGCTGGATAATGTTTAATCTATAAAAAACATGCCACATACCGAACGTACTGAATTATAAATATGTGGTATACTTATGTATATATAAAGTAAAGGCTTTCTGCTTGTATTCACCCATGTCAGTCTTTATTTGCCTTTTTTAAATATGTCACCTGCTTGGGCTAGCCGTTTAGATTTATGAAGGCAAATACAAATCAGATACAATGCTATTCCTCGTTTTTATAAAGAGTGATTTTATTTATTTTATTTTGTGAAGAGTAGTACCTGATTGTTCCCTTTTATGTGACCATGCTTTTACATTCACCACAAAGGTGTACAAGAGGCTGCTGATGACAAAGGATGGCATAGGCAGTACAAATGAATGGAGAAACTCAAGCAAGGGATTGATGCATATTGTATGAAATCTGTATGATAGATTGACTATGGTACAATAAAGAAACAAGTTGTTAAAGTGACTGTTGTAGTCGTATGAATACATTTAAGCCATGGTCTTTGTCCTGGCTTATAGGAAAAGTGTAAATTAAAAATGAGAATGAGTTTATGTTAAACCGCTGCACATGCCCATAATTCATGCTGCCTTTGCAGGATTGCTCATTCTCCGCTAGAGGGCAGTCCTTGCTAAAAGTATGGCTCTTTCTTTACTTGGCCAACAATTGTGTTACTGACTCCTTTAGGATGTGTGTGTATAAAAGCCACATAAGGGAGTACTTTCCTCTCACATTCCCTGTTTGTGACACACACACACACACACACACCTGTTATCTGTTTGAAGCTGGCTCTGTGCAGTTACAGGTGAAGGACAGGTGGGAAGGAACTGTTGATGCAACTTCAACGTCACCAGTTTGATATGTAGGGTCAGGTTTCATTTGTTTCTTTAGTCACAAAAAAGATACTAGAAAACGTTCTAATTAACACACCTTAGCTATTAGGGACTAACTATCTCGGACTAATATCTACTAAAGGATTTCAGGAATGTATCCACCTATTTGCTTGATCATTCAAGTCGTGTTATCTATAAAATGTCCAAGCATTTAGGGAAAACACAAGGGCTTGTTTTGACAAATCAAATCTCCCAAAAACTGCTAAGAAATTCAGTATGCTTTCATAAAAGATGTGGGTTAACCAGTAGTTTTATTGACCAGTATTCAGACTCAGGGACCTTATGTGGATACTTTTATGTTTATTTGAAAGTTGGATTTTAAGACTGGACATTTTGGTTATACTTGATCAGAATTCAACTTATGTAAAACCGACACTTCAAAACCTCAAATAACAAATTTGATAAAAAGAAACGTTAGTTTTAGGGACATTCTTTGCTTCAACAGTTAGTTGAATAATGCATTACATTTTATATATCCTACTATTTTGATGAAAATAAACATTATTCTCCTCTCTAATAACTCGAAAAACGATATTAACAAAGTAAAAGGAACATTTTCAATGGTGTATGTGAGTGAAACTTGAAATTGACAAAAAAGTTGTTTATGACTAAGAATGACACAAAACAAAACAGCTCAATAAAGGACATGTGTACGTTATGTTTCTTTACCACATGAGACTTGACTTTAAACTGGACTAAAGACTTACAGTTCTCAGTCATTGAGTAGAAAGTATATCTATTGGAATAGTATAATAAAGTAGCATAACATGTAATACTTGAATAACCTACACATTCCTCAAAGTTAAGTATGCTGCAGTACTTGAGTAACTGTTTGCTACTTCGGTACTTACCATCACAACACAATGGCATATTTCAATATATTTTAGTTTTACATTTTGAAAGTAATAAAGTAGTAACTCATCCTCAAGAATGTGTAATGTCTTCACCAGGAAGAAATGTTTTTCGCAATAAATATGTAATAATGGATAAAATGATGTGTGTGTTCTGACACTCGTCATCTTTACTGTGCTGCCCCGTTATCATGCAAATGATGCGGGACGAGAGGCCGATGTGTCATGCCCTTTTAAGAAAAATGAGAAATAGTGGGGAGTGACGTCTGCTGCGCACACAGGCCGGAGGCAAACTGACACTTGCGGAGCGGCGAGAGACAGCGAGAGAAACGGTGAGTGCAAACCACAAACTTTACTACATGCTAAACGCGGACAAATAACCCATTTGCTTGGGAGCACGTCTTGTCGACACATGCGGTATTAGTATCGAATACGGCAGGGTGCATGGCGTGTTTAGTGTGTGTCGTTTAAATGAAAATAAATTGTCCGCAAGTACAAAACGGAGTGTGCACTCCCATTTTAGTCAAGGCCAGGCGGAAGGGCAGGTAACGTTAGCAGCAATCGCTCTTTCTTGAGAAAATACACCGTGATAGGAGTTGACTTAAGACCTGCCAGGCCCGGTTGACGTGTGAGCTGTAAAATGCGCTTGATTGCAGCGCGTTTCTGACAGCCTAGCTGTGTTTTGATTGTACACGGAGGACAGGAATGTGTCGGCTAGCTAGCTTGATGCTAACGGAGCTGTAGCTAGCGGTTGTTAAGTGTCGGCGGCCCGTCGCAGGCGGTTAAAGCTAGCTAGTTAGCGGCATTGTGCTAACGAGCTTTGATAACGGGATTTAGCGTAGTCGCCGGTGTGAGCCTAGATTGTTTATGGACAGATGCTGTCTGGATTAAAGATTGTTATTTTAAGTATCTGTAAGCGGGTTTTTGATTTGATTTGATTGGTGTTATGAAGCTGAAGGGTGTAATAATCATGCATCGACGGAGTGTTAGTTGCTGCTCTGTGGTTATAGAGCCAGCCACAGATTGTAGGGATTTAGCATGACCTGGAGTGATAAGCATATGCTACTGCCGTAAGCAAATTAGGTAGATTCACAGGGATACAACCCTAGAGCTCATTTGACTTTCTCCTGTCTGGGGCCAAGCTCTTATTTTATGGGTTGCCTGTTGCAGGCTTTTTTCTGCTGCAGGGAGAGTGATGTGAAACAGGAAAGGTGTACTACATCCTCAAACTATAAACACACAGTCGGGATGCTTTATTAAAAATAGAGTATCAAGAGGTGTAGGCATCCCTGCAGAGGTGGATTATCGTCTCCTTTTCAACATGTGTTAACTGAATTGATGCACCCGTCTCATCCTGTGCCCTGAATCTCCCCATAGCTCATAATCAGGTATAGGCTATAAAACCCACTTCCTCCCTAAGCAAGCCTAGTTTTCTGGAGCTTTGAACAGGAACCGAGACTGGAAGAAGCTATTTTAGAAGGTAGCTACTCCTTTTCCATCCTATCAGCATGAATACTTATTGCTCTCTGGAAAGAGGATGTGGTTACAGGTTAAAGCCTCAGCCAAACACATGCATTCTGTGGGTGTTTGTCAGTCACAGATCTTTGTCATAACTTAGTCACAAGAAGTTTCGTTTGCCGGGCTGCTGTTTGGTTTTGACTCACGGTGGGACATTCAGAGACCTGAAGAAAGATGTCACAACTATCTAACTAGATAACTTAAAAGCTTTTGGTTCCTTATTCATTCTTGAGGTATAATTTTGAAAGAGAAGATGCTTAGGAAGTTTGATACCATCTTAAGGAGAGATAACATTTCAATTAGCCTTTACATCAGTTTAAACGTTCATGAGTAATGAGTATGTTTCTGATGTAAATGCAGTGTTATCTATTACATGTGAATGCCAGCTTTCATGAGTACCGGTAGTTGCTAATGTAATGAACTAGCTTTTTTCCCCCTAAGTTCTGGTGGTAGCAATTTATTTTATAGGCTTGTAAATGTTTTTATTTACTAGGATGTTTCCTAGAAAGAACTTTGTAAATGTAGCACTCATTATAGGTCAAATTTAGTGTTGGTATCGTTTCAATTAATTAATTCCAATTAACTGCTAAGCTTGCTTGTCTTTCAGTTGGGGAAAGCAGGTCAGCAAAAAACATTCCAAAAGTTCCATTTGACTATAGGCATCATCCAGTTTAACATATGAAGATTAACATGTTTAATAACAAATTAATTAAGTAATTTGATGAAAATAAAATACATTTCAACCCGATTTTAAATTGAACAGTACTTGTAGGGAAACTCCTCTGAATATTCAGCAGCTGATTTTGAACTCAACCCAAGCCAATAAACGGTGTCTTCTACTCTATAAGTGGCACCAAAAGACATCATAAAAAAAGAGGATAATAAATGATATGTAAAATAAAGCGTTATGTCTTCTTTACTCAAGACCTTTGCTTGAGAGGTTTTCTGCTGTCAGTAGTTCCTGGGTGATTTCCCTGTTGGTGTGTGGGTTTCTTATGCTGTGTGAACAAGTGCTGTGTGAACAAGTGCTGTGTGAACAAGTAATGTGTGAACAAGTGATGTGAACTGTGGTTGTGGTTGAGGTAAATGAATAACTATGAGCTTGTCAACATTAAAATGCGCTCCACCAGAACCACTATTATGTCACCCTGTTTTTGCCTTAAAACCTCAAGGGGTATTTTTTCATCAGTGTCGCTCCTGTAATTGTCATGTAGGTCAACAAGCAAGCAAATCGGAAGATGTCACAAGTCTGTATCATGCTGCCAGCTTAACCAAAGGATATGTGCATTTTCACCATCTACATTGGGCGGAGGATACAGAGGGCAGATGTCAATCAAACCCCCCTGCTGAGTCAGGCGCTGTGACAGCTTCACATCTGTCGGATTAGCCTCGCTACAGCAGGAAACAGTGCATCCTGAATGTTGTAGCATAGCTGTGAAGCCTCCTGCTCTCTTATTTCAGCTTCCTCTCGACTGAGGCGTAGTTTATACAGACACATTTGCTGCATATTCTTGCTTAGCAGCATCACCTCGTCCAGTTTCCAGCCTTAGATGGATACATACCTTTGGCTGTAGAGGGTGAGTGATGCGGTGATGTCATGGTAGAGCATGTTTTCGGTGGCATGTGGCTTTCCCTCGCTCCTTATTTGCTGGGGTTACTACGAGAGCAGAGGAACGGCAGCGATGTGTTTGTTTTGTTGGGAATGACAGTGTGTAGTTCAGGGCGATGGAAAGAAGGAGAGGTTTGGTTTTTAAAGGGAGATGTCCTTAAATGGCCATGCGTGTGTGTCTGTTTGTGTGTGTCATGAGTGTGTAGGCAGGCAGTTGAGAGTACAGTGCAGCGTGTAGTGAGTGTCTGTGAAAGTGTGTAGAAAAGGTGTCAAAGCAAGAGCATCCTTTGTAGAAGATGCTACAGTTATGAGTAGGAAGCTCAATAAGACCAGAGTTCAAAGGAGAAAGTTGTTCACTCATTGAATATAAAGCAGCATTTTTGGGGGCTTGATTGGGAATGTCATTTGTAGGGATGGGTATCGTTAAGGTTTTAACGGTACTACTACTTTTATCGATACCGCTTATCGGTCCGGTCTTTTAACGGTACTCTTATCGGTTCTTTTGGAGAAAAAAATAAGGTGAACTAACTAAACAAATTGTGAACAAAATTAACATTGCTTTTTATTTAAATTAAATAAATAATATTTCACATCAAAAGAAACAACAATGTTTTAACAAATAGTATTAAATAATCTGATGACAGAACTGTAAACAGAAGAGCTGAAACTTTAACAAAAATAAATAACTCAGTTACCTCTAATCATTAACCCATGTTTGTATAATTGAGTTAACTCCGTGTGTTGCTGCTAGCATACAACAAAAATAAATAACTCAGTTACCTCTAATCATTAACCCATGTTTGTATAATTGAGTTAACTCCGTGTGTTGCTGCTAGCATACATAACACCTGACGTGGAAACGTTACTCGTGGATGGGGCTACAGAGCTACTAGAAGGACAGTCGAACCCGGTGCATTTCTCCGTCTGAATGTGGTGCACTTTTTCTAAATGTTTAGACAAATTGCTCGTGTTACCGCCCTTACATGCTAAACTCTTATAGCACTTTTGGTAACGAGCATTGTCCACATCGAGACGGGTAAAGTTTAACCACACCTCGGAGCGCGTTCTCGCCGCCATCTCCTCCGTGTGTGTGTGTGTGTTGCTGCATGTAGCAGCTGCGTGTGTGTAAACTGCCCCGCCCCCAAAGCAGGCGGGGGAGAGAGATCTCTCGCCTGGGTTGGAAAGATCGAAAATACTAAAAAGACGCATTTTGCACGCTTTTTGCATATTAGAAACGGAGTTGGCAACACTAAAACTGCAATATAATGTTTGTGTAGCAACAATACATATATTTTTTGCATGTCTCCAGTACCGATAAAAAGACCGTCAACGTCGGAGCTTAACGGTACCATGGTCTTTAATAATTCAGCCCCGGGGCCCGTTCAATACCGGGGCTCGGTACCCATCCCTAGTCATTTGAGTTGGGGGAGAGTGTATTATTTATCTAGTATTTTTGTCTTGGCAGGCATCAAGCAAAGCCACTTTGCTAGAACATCATTTAACACACTCGAGCTGCACAACGTTGTCCTTTACTGCTACTCGAGCTTAGAGAGAAGTACACTGTCTTTCCTTTTGACGCTCGGCTCAACAATGCATTTTAACATCAACATGTAATCGTCTTTATTTGTAAGCAAAAGTTAAGCGTAGCTCAACAGCATTACAAATATTAAGATATTGATTTTCACACCACGCCTACATACACCAATATTTTTAATTTATGAAGATGATGATGATTTACTGAGTTCTGAGCTCTTAAAGTGCCCTTCTGGTTGTGTGCAATAAGTTAATAGCAAAAATAACTAATTATGACGTTTATTTCCCAAATGACTATTGCCCCAATGCTCTATTTATGTATTGAAAATAGCATGTATGCAGTAGCATCAGCTTTTGTTATACATATTTGAAAATGTAACAATACAAATGTAGGTATGAAACATGTTTATGCTGCAAATGGCATCTCCTTTAATATTTTGCACCTCCAATATCTCTTTACTTTTTACCATACTTTAATGAGCTGGTAACATCATCTATTTTAAGCTTAGTTGAACATCATTCCTTTTTGTTGACACAGGACACAAAACTACATTTGTTGTCCCTTAGAATGTGTATATGTAGGCACCTAACCTTTCCTGGAAAAAAAGTAAATCACTTCCTCCAACATCAGAAAAAAACTAACAATAGTTTTATGAAAAATGCAAGGGATTAAGTTTAAACACAACCAGTCCTTTTTAAAAAGTATTTCTGTTGTAAAATGAAACCAATAAGCCTTATAAATACCTCAGCTTTGGGTCCTAACACAGATCTGCTGCATCGCAGCGTTGCCTTTCCTTTGAGGATATTTGAGCACAGGTAAAATTGAGCAATAAACATCCATAATGTCCTCTGAAGCAGTCGCATATTAATCTAACAGTCACTATCACAGAGTGGGTTCCTGATGTCACCTCTCTTATCTTGTGAACCCTCAGTGTTCATACAACAACCATGACATGTGGATAGCTGACAGTAAGGCCTAAATGTAAGTGTGACATTGTCTTTATGACATTGTATATGTTACACTGTGCATGCACTTGACTCTGTTCTTGAATGTTTACATGAGTGCAGCAGTGGCTATTTGCATAGCACTCGTGCGCCCTGGTTTCTTTTTTTTCTTTTTTTTTCTCCCTAATCGTGCAAGGAGAACTTCTCTTTGTTGTGTAGAGGATTAGTGAATATGAATTATTCACAGTCCGGGCTTCATATCCCACATGGTCACTGCTTGCGATTGAAGTTGGAGGTCCTTGGTTCCTTCATCCACCCCCCCCTGAGTATTTTTTATGGAGTGTGCTGCAAAAAGAACAGTGTAGGAGGGGATCATCGGCTTCCCAGAGTACTTTCCGATTAGCTTTTTAATGGTTTGGGCAAAAGAGTTGACTATTAACGTGTGGCTATACTTTGTCCCTTTAGACCTGATTTGAACTTGAAGCCACTTTCTGATTTTCACACAGTTTTGATGCCAGCATGCTGCACTTTTCAACTCATGCTGGACATGCTGTACTCTCAGGGCTAGTCCTTTGATGTGAGGCCTAAGAAACCTTAGCCGCTTTCACACCGCAGGACTTGCCGTACTTTAGTGCCGGCACTAAAGTACCACGGCACTGAATCCGCCAGGGGGCTAGTGCCAATCGCATTCACACCACAGTACTTTCCCTGAGGCAAGATTACGCTGACGTCACTTCGTCTTCTTCTTCTCTGGGTTTACTGGCAGGCCGCAAAACCACTTCACGGCGAGTACAAAAAAAAACAGAGAAGAAGAACTACACGGGGGAGGGGGTATAAAGCCCACCCGCTGTACATGATATATATATATATATAATAGGTAGGCTCAGCAGACAGACCGTAGTGCAAAGATAAAGTGTCACATGATTATTTACTAAATAGTGAATTCAGCTTCAACTTCACCAAGATGAAGTTCATATCTTCCTAAGATACGTGTTACTTTATGTCCCTACTAGAATCCGAGCTCAAATGACTCAAACCAACAAAATGTCCAAGCAAAGAATCATGTGCACCATGAGGCTGGGTTATAAGGGTAATTTACAAATGAAATACCCCATTATAACAATGGACTTTATCTTTTTTATGTATATATATATACCCTCATGCTGATCTTGAAAGACTATAATAAGATCAAAACCAGTAAATAATAGGGTTGGATGTCCAGGGTACAGTAAAGCTAACATGCGGTGTTTTGAACACTTGCCTTGCAGTTGTGGTACCGGCTCCCCCCTTCGCTTGCGTGGAGCCACAGCATGAGGGCCTCAACGGCCTCCTTCTGGGCGCGCCGACCGTCCTTTTTCGGCCTCCTCTCTTCGGCCCGCTTCATCTCTTTGCGGGTTTCCGTCATTCTCTACTTCACCCACTTTGAATGCTCTCTTTCTCTTTTATCTCGATCCAAAAGTCAAAGGACGGCAATTGGGTGAATCGTGAATAATAAAATCATCCATTTTATATCCATTTACATATCACGTGCTTTCTAAGGATCCCCAAAACCACCCTTAAATAGCGAGTTATCTAATGGAAATGTATTCACGTAAACAGAGACGTTGTACTTTTAGTTAAAGTACGTCATTGGCATTTTATGTGTGTTCATTTTATCTGTAAACATTATCTTTTTAATTATTTAATAATAGTTTCTTGTAATTATCTAGAAAAATTCTATATTGTTTTCAAAATGAATGTTCCTCTTCTCGTGTTTTTGTAAAGGAATTCTTTCATGTGTAACTACTGTCCAACCGATTATCTAATTCATCGCATTTAGGACATAATGGGGGAGCTCTAAGCACCTACTATTTCTATTGTTCAGTTCATTAGATAAAAACCTACCGTTGAGAACGCCATAAAAGCACATCAAGAAATAAAGGTGTTGTGGGGGGTGCTGTGTGGTGTGGTTTGGTGTGTGTGTGTGGTGGTGTGTTCTGCAGGTGTATGGAGTAAAGAGGAGATCCTGTGCGGGGGGCGAGTGGGTGTGTTGTGGAC